CTCTCTCTCTCTCTCTCTCTCTCTCTCTCTCTCTCTCTCTCTCTCTCTCTCTCTCTCTCTCTCTCTCCGCGCCTCCCTGTGTGCGTCTGTGTGCGGCAGCACGCGCTCACCCTTACACAAATTGAGAAAGATGAGAAAAACGGTGCTGTTGCGGCTGAGGACACAACAGCATGCGTCTTCTGTTGAACAGCACAGACCAATGATGAGCATGAAAAGCACGGATCGACGGTGAGCATTCAAAGCACGCATCCACGATGGCACGAAAAGCACGGATCGATGGTGAGCATGAAAAGCACGTATCCACGATGGTACGAAAAGCACGGATCGACAATGCGCATGAAAAGCACGTATCCACGATGGCATGAAAAGCACGGATCGACGATGGCATGAAAAGCACGTATCCACGATGGCATGAAAAGCACGGATCAATGATGAGCACAAAGTTCCCGATGAGGACCGAGCAGCAAAGGAGAGAACACGATGAGCACCAATGGAGAGAGGACGATGAGGACCAATGCAGAGAAGATGAAGCAAACACGATGAAGAGAACACGATGAGCACGATGAAGAGAAAACGATGAGCACGATGAAGCGAACACGATGAGCACGATGAAGCGAACACGATGAGCACGAAGAGCAGCAAAGTAGCGAACACGATGAGCAGCAATGAAGACGAAGCACGTATCCACGATGAGCACTGATGGAGAGAAGATGAGCACGGAGAGCACGTATCCACGATGAGCAGCAATGAGCACGGAAAGCACGTATCCACGGAGAGCAATGAGCACTGATGGAGAGAAGATGAGCACGGAAAGCACGTATCCACGGAGAGCAATGAGCACCAAGGAGAGCACGTCGAGCACCAAAGGAGCGAACACAATCAGCAGCAATGAAGACGAAGCACGGATCGAAGCACGGATTGAACCACAGATGAGCACGGACCACCAAGCACGGATGAGCACCGACCACCAAAGGAGCGAACACGAAGCACGGATCCAAGCACGGATCCAAGCACCGATGAGCACGGACCACCAAGCGCGGATGAGCACCAACCACCAAGCACGGATGAGCACCGACCACCAAGCACGGAAGAGCACCGACCACCAAGCACGGAAGAGCACCGACCACCGAGCACGGATGAGCACCGACCACCGAGCACGGATGAGCACCGACCACCAAGCACGGATCGACGCACAGATCCAAGCAGGGATGAAGACGAAGCACGAAGCACGGATGAGCACCGACCACCAAAGAGAGAGCACAGTGCGCGAGAGAGAGAGAGAGAGAGAGAGAGAGA